TATTATGAGAATCTGAATTAACAAGGGATCCGCAGATTAAACGTAAAAACATATCGAGATAAAAAAAATGAATAATCGCTATGAAAACACTTCTGTTAACATTAGATCTGTAATACCTACAGATGTCCTAAATTACAGGGAAGCGAAAGAAAGAAAATAAAGAAGTGCTTTACGGGAACGAAAGTTCCCAGAAACGGTGTCTGCTAAACATTAAGGTTTCTGTGCCTTCATCAGAGCGCAGTGAGACCAGGCAGATCGGTTCAACAGCCTCCTACCCCTGGCAGGAGTCCAAAGCAAGAAGCGCTGGAGAACTCGGCCTAAACCCGTCGGGCATACGATCGAATTTCACGTTTACCACTTAGTTTAGCAAGACCCGCGTCTCTCCGAGTCTGGAAAAGGCCGGTTCGTGGGAGAAGCTTTTGCAGTCCTAGCGTCGATGGGCTACGGCTCCACCCGATGCTATCGCAAGGAGCGGATCCAAAAAGAAGATCCCAAAAAGACCAATTACTATGCATCTTAAGGTCTGGAGGACGCTACAGCCTTTCGCTGCTTTACTGCAGCAACTCCGAAATATCACAGAAATATTACGCTAACGCACTCTTAACAGCAGAGATCCATCGTCAGCGGTGGTGCCAAAGACAAGACAGAGAAAGCAAAAATAACAAGAACCCCGTACAACAGTGATCAGAGCCATCAGAATTAGAGAAACACAGGCGATTAGCAACAAACACGAGCTTCCTACCTTCTCATTAACGACACCCTTACCAACCTCAGCGGTATTGCACCAGACTGGGTCCCTTCCAAAGCAAACACGGCTCCGTTTGCAAGCTATATTAAGGCACGCAGTTTCTGCTCCGATGGTTTGCAAGACATTACCAGCACAATTAAGGTTAGCTTGTGGCAGGAAGGGTCCCAGCGCATCCTCTCACGTTACCGGACGCGTCCCGCCCGGCCTGACTCAGTAACGCCGCTGCCCGCAGAGAAAGCAAGCTTGTAATAAATCCGAGCTGCACGCGCAAATCTGAAATGGCAGTTTCCCTGCGCAGACACTCTGGAAGAGACAAGTTAATCAGTTTAAGTGAGGTTTTACCTCTGTCATCTTGCTGGGATTGGATTTATGAGCGTTCGGCCTTAACACCTCAGACAATGAATTAAGCGCCCAGCACTCACTCTACATCCATTAGCAGCGCGGCTTAATACGCTTTTGACCCATTCCGCTCTGCTGTTAAAACAAACTGATTTAATTTCGCTGCGTTTTGATGATCTGGTTTGTAGCATATTTTAGGAGGCGAGCTCGCAGGCTGGCCGGGTACAAGACACGGGCTCTTCTGGAGGCGACCTGGGCAGGGATGCAGGCACCGAGACCGCACGACGGTTGGATTTTGCATGATGCCATAGGATAGAACCTCCTTACGGAGCAAGGAACCCAAATCAAGCGTGCTAGATACCACCAGCAACCGTAAGTCAATCCAAACCCAGAGCCCGTTCAATCTTCCCGCGCACAGCCAAGGACAGGAGGTGCACGGCGCATAAAGAAAGCAAAACGAAGGAAATAACGGTGCTGCCAGAACATGGTTTTGCCGGGAGCCTCCCCATCCCCTCTCCAGAAAAAACACCACCTCGATGCGTGGAGGAAACCACAGCAAGCCGAATTATTTCCCCTCTCCTCGCCCGGCTGCTCTTATCACCGCAGCCCGCCCGCAGCCGTCCCCATTATCTCACGCCGCCCTCCGCGCCTTGCGACCGCGGCCATCCCTCGGAAACCTCGCAGCCCCCTCCTCACTTCCACCCCAAACTGCAGCACCCGGAATTAATTTCACAAAACAGCAGAGAATAAGACGGGGATTAACCCTCCTCCACACACGGCTGTGGTTTACTCCACCCTGCACAACCCTCACTGTTAAATTCATCCTCTCTTTTCTGCCAACGTGACACCTTTAATGCAACGTGCGTCTTGGTTATGGAAAAATGGCAGTAAACCACCAAGTTTGGTAAATGTAACGCTGCCTGTTTGTGGAGGTTGAGCACACAAAATCCTTCTGCACAACAAGCTGCTCCACCGATAACTTGTATTTTTATAACTTTCTCGCCACCGAATGTCCTCAAAACGCTTCACAAACACTGGGCAGAAACAGGAGGGAAAGGAACAATAAATACATGGCTAGAAAACATGAAAAAAAAGGAAGCAAGATGATGCATAAATGGCAGATGGCGAGCAGAAGGAAAGCAGAGGTGGTTACAAAAAGCACAGCGCTGATCCCTGTTACCTGCGGCTGATATAATCGCCAAACTCTGCGGCAGTTTAATTGCGGTGGAGCAAAAACTCAAAGCAAAGGAACTCCCGGCAAAATGTAAAGCAGAAAAATCCGTGGCCCCTCGTTACCCTAAAACAGACCCAGAGCTGGGGGCTACCCTGACCCAAGGGGGACAAAGCTGAGGATGAGGAGGTCACGCTCCACACGCCCGGAGGTATTGAAGCCACCGAGCGCTCACAGAGCCCCACGCGCAGACATTGCCCCCATTACCGGCCACAAATTTGGGTGGTGGTGGCTGTGACACAGATGTGGGGGGTTTGCTGGAGCGTAGCAGATGGGAGCCTTTACATGAGGTGGCTTCTCGCTCTCTACCTACCAAAAATCAAGAGTTTTTCTCCCTAAAGGAAAATCCACCTCACCTTGATTCTCTACCCCTGCTTTGGAGACCGCTTCCCTCCCAAAACCAACCTCTCACCCCAAAATAAAAGGCTCGCCGAAAGCAGAGGTAAAGCAAAATGCTGCAGGTAAAGCGTCAGGAACCTGCTCGGCGAGGGAGCGCGTCCACCTCGGGGGCTGCCGCTTCAGCCGTTTTTCCATCGCTGACTAATATTCGTTTGACTGGAAAAATACTTTATTAACTTAGACCAGGAAAAGGCTCGGGAAGCAAAAGCCATCGCCACAAAACTCCGCAAACTCTGCCAGCGCCCCAAGAAAAGGAGCTGACATCGCCCTGCCCGGCAACGTGTCGTCCCGCTGATAAACGGATAGAAATCAAGAAGAAAAAAAAAAAAAAGCGGGACTGAACCCAAAACAGTGAGTAAACCCCAGACGGACAGACAGACGGATGAGAGCCGCCCCCACGCCACAGCCTGCCGTGTGTTTTGGCACGCTCGCGACGAGCGAGCCCCGAACTGGGGCCGGAGGGGGGTCTTTGCTGGGGGAAACTGGGCGGATGCGCCATTCGGTTCCCACACCTGTAAGGAGGAAAAAAAAAA